CACAATATAAAAAATACGTTTATTCAAGAAACAATGTTGGTGCAGAAGAAGAAGAATAAAAGCAGATACCCAATACAGGGAGTCCTCAACTTTTTACCACGATGTGAAAAAGATGTTGAGACTCCAGAAAGAGTTCAGAGAAGAGCAACAAAGATGATCAGGCGACTGGGGACATATGAAGGACGGTTGCAGGAATTGAGAACGTTTCATAATAAGAAGGACTAAGGGTGACATGATAGCAGTGTTCCAATATTTGAGGGGGTCAAGCTATTTTCCAAAGCACCAGAAGGCCAAACAAGAAGCAACAGATGGAAACTAATCAAAGACAGAACTAACTTAGAACTAAAGTGGAATTTCCTAACGGTGAAAACAGTTAACCAGTGGAACGGCTTCCCTCCAGAAGTTGTGGGTGCTCCATCGCTGGAGGCTTTTAAGAAGAGACTGGACATTCATTTGTCTGGAATAGTATAGGATCTCCTGCTTGAGCAGGGGGTTGGACTAGAAGACCTCCAAGGTCCCTTCCAACTCTGTTATCCTGTTACCTGCCAACTTCAGCAAACCTGCAAATCTATAATGGTTTGCCGAGAAAGAGAGCGAAAGAAAAGATAGCCTGGTCAACATTAATCCTGTTAACAGATTTCACAGCTTTGCTGATACGTTTGGGCCTGGAGAAAATTTAATTTGTTCAGGTCCCACCTGCCTGCCAGAAACAAAGTTAATACGACTCTCTCTTTGCTCGGAGCCTGAAAACTCTACAATATGAAGGTGAACAGCAGCACAGGCAGACAAATAACATCAGAGAATTTCCTTCATCGCCCATGAATGATGATGGAAAGACATCAACAAAGGGAAGAGCTGATGCAGGAGGCATGTTGAGAAAGCTCATTGAAAACCCGGGACCCCAAACTTCATCTTTGGGCCCCAGACTTCCTCTTTAAAAAGATCCATTTTACAGACGGGGTAAACGTATCATAGACTGAGTCTTGAGCATCCTCATCAGATTTATCCAGAAGTGGGCAGCGTGTAACCCCGATTTCTTTTTCTTGCAACCGTTCGAACCACTAAAAAACAGGGGGAGCATTTATGTTTACATTATATTTGTATTATATTATACATAATATAATACATCCTCCCAGTCCTGTTTACTGTCAGCTCAAAGCAAACATTGTTGGTTTGTAAACCGTTTGTGGCTTAGCTCAATGACTGGACCCAGTGATCCATGCCTTAGTCCAGAAATCTAGGCTTAAGCAACGCAGGGGTGTCAGTGGGGCTGATGGTGTGGGAAGGTCAAATAAGTCAAGATGGCGGCTGCTACGCTGTGGCCTGGATTTTCAGACCCCCTGCCCCTTGCAGCCACCCTCTTAATAAACCATGGCTTAGCCTGATGTGGGAAGCCAGACAAGGATTGGGAGAGTAATAAATAATAACTTGGCCAACTGACTTGATTCAAACACAGCTACCTTTACTCTTATTTTGCAAAGAGCAAATAGTTCTGCTACTGCATATAGAAAATTACATATTTTGAGGCAGGCTAATTACTCAATGCAGACCTAGAGGGTGCCAAAGGTAATTTGATAAGCTGGCACTCCCTTTTCCCCCCACCCAAAAAAAACCCCCAGCCTGTTTTTTTTCTCTGGCACCTGTGAATTTAGCTTTTTATCTGAGGGAGTCCCAGGGAACAGAGGAGAGGCTGGTTATCAAACTACCATATCACCATTGATAAAGGAGAAACAGAACAGGGTTTAACAATGCCTATGTTACTGAGCTATACTTTTTACGCTGGATATGGGGCCAAAGTGACTGAATAACAGAGTTGGAAGGGACCTTGGCGGTCTTCTAGACCAACCCACTGCTCAAGCAGGAGACCCTATACAATTCTGGACAAATGGCTGTCCAATCTTCTCCATTTTTACAGTTCTCTGTTGGAAAGGCAGTCTAAGGTAATGTTTTTCAACCTTGGCAATTATAATAGGGGTGGACTTCGACTCCCAGAATTCCCCAGCAGACGAGGGCATTCTGGGAGTTGAAGTCCATACATCTTAGTTGCTGACTTTGAGAAATACTGCACATTTAGTGCAAAACAAAGATTTGCTAGCCATTTTTCACTGGATGGAGATACTGAGTTATGATGATGATGGGTTATGATGATACTGGAGTTATTCTACTTTATTAGAACATAAAATATATATTTTTTCTATTTCTATTTGCTTTTGCTCTCCTCTTTGAAATTTGCCTCGCTGTCCCCTTCAATTTCCCCCCCTCTTCATTAGCTACATTTAAACGAATGAATAAACAATAATTATATATGGTAGCTCGTTGAAACTGGATAGTTTTAATATTTTAAAACTATTTTTTTAGAGTTCGCCCAAAGCCACTCTAAGCGGCTTGCAGACACTGATGTAAACGCACGCCAAAGCATTAAAACAATAAAGAGAGAGATCCTGCATTTTAAAAAAATGCAATGGAAATAAAATGAACGATTATAAAAATATTCTTTTTTTGCTTTTTTAACCTACATTTATATTTTTGGACAATAGATTTCTTTTTTTCTCCTTCCTCAGTTCTGCTGGACTTGTATTTAAAAGATTTATTTGGCTGACCTTCTTAGGTAGCATCACCCAGGCTAGGCCACAAAGAATATTTAGGCAGATCTTTAATTAGACTTGTTCTTTTGATCAGTTTAGCATGACTGTTATCCATCTGTATAAAAGAGAGTCTGATTTTTGCAGTTGGAATACAGACCCTAAACTTTATTTTTTGGGTTCTCTCCAATCTGTTTCAATCTAGAAGTCTGCCATAACCATTTAACATCCCATATTTCATCTGTTTCTATTATTATTACTAGCTATACCTGGCCACGCGTTGCTGTGGCTCAGTCTGGTTAAATGGAAAAGAAAGAAAAGAGAAAGCGCACGTTTGTGTCACAGGTGTGACATCTACATAATAGTAGGTATATAAAACACGCGCGTATTCAAATGCAACGTTGTGTCAAAATTTCAAAGCAATCGGTGAAGAACATTCAGAGATTTAAGATTTTGAACAAACGAACATTTACATTTTTATTTATATAGATTACTACTACTACTACTACTACTACTACTACTACTACAGGGGTCATCTGCAATTAGATTCGCCAAGACTGGGGAACACTTCATAATTCAAATCTTAACTATGGACCGAAGAATTATTAAGCTAGCGCTTGAGAAAACAGGTATATATTTATTTTAATTTACTACATTTTTATGCTGCCCAGCTTCCCTCTAAGGTGAATCCAGGCGGCCTACAAATTATAAAATGAGTACAAAGATCATCCAAATATTAAAAACGACACCGTTTCAACGAACTGCAAAGTATCGTTATTGTTTTGTCTATTGAATAAATCGACGAATCAATCAACCATAATTGCATACTGTAGCTAACTGAAACGGTGGCATTTTAATATTTTAAAACTATTTTTTTTTTTTTAGAGACGGTCAAAGGCGACTCTAAGCGCCTTCCAGACATGGATGCAGACGCACGCCAAAACGTAAAAGCAATAAAGATATTTTTTTTTAAATGCAATGCAAATAAAACAAACGAGGATCAAATATTTTTTTTTCTTTACCTGGCAGCCGAGCCTTCCTGAAAAATCTCCCCCTTGTCTTTCCCTCTTTTGAACAGCCGGGTGGCTTGCTTAATCTTTTCCAGCAGATTCAAGACGAAGATCCGAAAGAATTCGGATTCCCAGAGCTGGGCCAAACCCATCCCGTAGTGCTCCCGGATAAGCCTCAGGTGCTGGTAAATCCGGGGCAGGAGGGAGGGCAGGTGAGGTGGGCTATTCCGAAGCCCCATCTGAGGTTGGCACACCAGCTGTTGTAGCTTGGTCAACCCCTGGAAGGCTTTCTCCAAGGAACGCTGCGCTCCCGTCCGGCGAGGCATCCAAGCTGGCCCAGGTGCCATGGCCATCTGGAATTCCCAGGTGAGCGAAGGAAGGCGGGGGGGGGAGCTTGCCAGTTTCCTGCTGCCAGCCTAGAGGTTGGCGAGGGCACTGCTGTGCGTGTCAGGAAGGAGCCCAACCAGCTCAGAAAGAAAGAAGGGAGGGAGGGAGGGCACTGGAGGATCACAGTGACAAAGGCGATGAGTAGTGAAGAGCGGGGAGAGAAGCCAAGAGGAAATAAACGACACATCAGAGTCCTGACAACACACACACACACACACACATGGGCCACAAAGCAGGGAGGGGGTGAAGTCAGCAATTGGGGTGGACGTGTCGAGGCTTGCAAGCAAGGAAGAACAGGCTGGCCGGGCTGCTGCGTCGAGGCAGGCGGTGGGTCCCATTTACAAAGTTCAGCTTTGGGAACTGGGAGGGGGGGGAACATGCCAGCGCTAGACAAATTGCAAAATAAACTCAATGAATACAACAGGACTCCTGGTCCTGAGAAGGGAGAAGTCTGGAGGCTAGCAACCTTGGACAGAGGTTTCTCCTGGGGTTTCATCCCCAGAGCAGGTCAAGGCCTGGGAAGGGGAAAAAAAAACAAGTCACGTTTTCCCATTTGAAAGCTCTTTGAGTAGATTTTAATCAGTGCCTATGTGCCGTTTGTTGCATTGCGACTCTAAGAGTGGCTGGGGTTTTTTTTTTGGTGTTTTTTTTCCATCCTGTTTTATTTGGGCCAAGTCAAGTGAAGTAGGAGGTGATTCATGGCAGGAAAGAAATCAGTGGTGTGACCAAAAAACTCTGTTGTAGTCCAGTTTCTCTCCTCCCCAAAAGCCTGAGCTGGTAAAAAACAGACCAAATTAAGACCTTGTTGTATTAGTTGGTTGCTTTAGGATGGACAATGAATTGAATGGGGAGGGAGGGAGGGAGGGAGGGAGGGAGGGAGGGAGGAAGGAAGGAAGGAAGGAAGGAAGGAAGGAAGGAAGGAAGGAAGGAAAAAGAGAAAAAAGAGAAGGAAAGGAGGAAGGGAGGGGGGAACGAAAGGAGGGAGTGGGAGAAGTGAGAGAGGAAGGAAGACAGGAAGGAATGGAAAGAGACAGAAAGAGCGAAAGAGAGAGAGGGAGACAAAAAAGAAAGAGAGAAAGAAAGAAAGGAAGGAAGGAAGGAAGGAAGGAAGGAAGGAAGAGAAAGAAAGAAAGAGAGAGAGAGAGAGAGAGAAAGAAAGAAAGAAAGAAAGAAAGAAAGAAAGAAAGAAAGAAAGAAAGAAAGAAAGAAAGAAAGAAAGAGGGCAGACATTTTAAAATTATTTTAGCACATTTAAAAATATCCAAAAGTCCTCCCTTTGTGAACTCAGGAGATGGATGATGATGATGATGATGATGATGATGATGATGATGATGATAATAATAATAATAATAATAATAATAATAATAATAATAATAATAATAATAATAATAATAATAATAATAATAATAATAATAATAATAATAGCAGCAAAAGGCGGCCTTACTAGGAACTGCTTCCATCCTGCGACGATATCTGTAATACCATCAAACATCCACATCTGCCTATCCCGGGTCCTGGGTAAGGACTCGATAGGTAGACAAAAATGCCAAATCCAGTCTGAACATCTGGCTGACTGTGTGAATAATAATAATAATAATAATAATAATAATAATAATAATAATAATAATAATAATAATAATAATAATAATAATAATAATAATAATAATAATAATAATAATAATAATAATAAAGTTGGAAGGGACCCTGCTCAGGCAGGAAAGCCTACTGAGACGTATGTTATGTTATTATTTGGGGTGCTTATTTTGTAAATGATGCTGTTCTTTCACCCTTTGTTCCTTGCTTAGAATAGCTTTTCCTGAGACAAGCAGCTGCCATCATTTAAAAACAACTAAGTAAACATGAACCAGGTGATCTCAAGCAACATCAGCCTAAAGTTTATTTTTCACTCTAGCTTCATTGAACAAAACAGTCCTGTAAAAAGCAAAGTCCAATATATCTCGACATTTCTTGGGCAATGCTCAACAATGACGTTCTTTGATCAGTTGCATTTACCACACACACAATTTTTTTTTTTACCAAAGCCATTAAAAAAGTATTCCAAAAAAGCTAGATATTTTTGTATGCAAGCCTACTGAACTTTCAGATGATCAGTAAACCCCTCTTCAGATTATGCGAGTTGTGGGCTACTGGCGCAGAGGAACATCCGCAGGGTGTGTTCAAAAAAGTCAAAATGGCTGCTTTAATCACACGGTGGTGGAGACCATTTTGACTTTTTTGACCTCACCCTGCAGACCCTTCTGCTGTTGCTTGCCAGCCATCTTGACAAGTGGCTAAAGAATGCATTCATTTGCCCACACCCGCCCCAGACTGCAGGGCTACGGTTTATGACAGCGTTCTTCAACCTTGGCAATTTTCAGATGTATGGACTTCAACTCCCAGAATTCTCCAGCCAGCCTGGGGAAATTCTGCGAGTTGAAGTCCACATGCCATAAAACTGCTGAGGTTGAGCAACACTTACATTAAACCTGACAGGCCACAAGAGGGCGCAAGAGAACCCAGCTACAGCAGTTGTGATTTAGTCAACCAAATAAACAAACCATGATTTAATCTGGGGTACCATAAGCACCCACCAAAAGCAAATCACCAAATTAGCATTGTATTATAGTAATGCCACTTCTACCCTATTTGTACAAGTAGTCCTCAGCTTACAACAGTCTGTTTAGAGACGGTTTAGGTTAAAATGGCACTGAAAAAAGCGACTTATGGCCGTTTTTCACACTTACGACCGTTGCAGCATCCCCAGGGTCACGTGATCAAAATTCAAGCGACTCATATTTATGACGGTTGTGGCGTCCAGGGCTCACGTGATCGCCTTTTGCGACCTTCTGACAAGCAAAGTCAATGGGGGAAAGCCAGATTCATTTAACGACCGTGCTACTAACTTAACAGGCGCAGTGATTCATTTAACAACTGTGGCAACCATGGTTATAAACGGGGCAAAACTCACTTAACAAACGTCTGGCTTAGCAGCAGAAAATTGGGGCTCCATTGTGGTTGTAAGTCAAGGACTACCTGTACTCTAAAAAGAGCTATTGGCCCAATCTCTTTTGCAAATGGGATGTCTGTGTGTGTGTGAAATAAAACCGATATTCAGTGACAAGCCAACCCAGCACTAACTTGGATTTAATCTTTGTCCCAGAGGTGGGGTTTCTTGGGTAAAGTTCAGCCCGGTCTAAGAATAGCTATTCTGAAACTACAGTACCTTGAACTACCAGGCATTTTTTTTCTCCCCAGCGGCCACCATGGAAATCAGTCACGCAACGTCTGTGGGTAGATTGGGACATGATCCCAGAACTTTTGAGATAATCCGTCTGGGCAATCTTGAACTTGTTTGCTTCTCCGATTACAAAACCAGCCTTGAGCAAGAACGTGCCAGGAAGTTGAACCTTTCCCTTACGACTCCAAGAACAGGGAGTAGAAAAAAAGGCCCTTTGTTCGTGTTCCAAGATGCTACTTTTTCCCCACCCGAGGTAGTCAGCAGGGCCCTATTTCTCAACCTTAGCAGCTGTAAGACTTGTGGACTTCAACTCCCAGAATTCCACAGCAAGCATGCTAAAGAGCTTGAAGATTTTGGACTTCAACTCCCAGAATTCCTCAGCAAGCATGCTAAAGAGCTTGAAGATTTTGGACTTCAACTCCCAGAATTCCTCAGCAAGCATGCTTAGGAACTGTAAGATGAGTGGACTTCAGTTCCCAGAATTCCTCAACAAGCATGCTTAGGAACTGTAAGATGAGTGGACTTCAGTTCCCAGAATTCCTCAACAAGCATGCTTAGAAACTATAAGATGAGTGGACTTCAACTCCCAGAATTCCTCAACAAGCATGCTTAGGAACTGTAAGATGAGTGGACTTCAGTTCCCAGAATTCCTCAACAAGTGTGCTTAGGAACTGTAAGATGAGTGGATTTCAACTCCCAGAATTCCGTAGGAAGCATGCTAAAGATCTTTAAGATTGTGGACTTCAATTCCCACAATTCCCCAGCCAGCCGTGCCGCCATCTTGACTTTTTTTGACCAACCCCTGCAAATACTCCTTCCAGGGCTCTTTCTGTTCCAAAAGGAAGCATGCTGGTAAGTGGAAAAGGGCTTGAAACTTTGAAAATATTTGTGGTTGGCAGATTTGAATGAGTTGAGCCTGCCCTGGGCACGTTCACCACATGGCAGCCTTGCCCAAACAGCTGCCAGCCTCAAAATACCAACTTCACAGAAGGTATCTTGTGGGGTTTGTCCTCCACCCCTCCCTCTGTGACCTCAGTTTACCTTTTTTTTCTTCTGCACAGGTGGACATATTTCCAAAGAGGTTTTGGTCACAGACCAAAATTTCCATTGCTAAGCGAGGTGGTTAGAATAGAATAGAATAGAATAGAATAGAATAGAATAGAATAGAATAGAATAGAATAGTAGACTGGACTGGACTGGACTAGACTGGACTAGACTACACTAGACTAGACTAGACTAGACTAGA